GTTACCCTGCTTCGTCAGGGTGTTGGACTAGATGACCCACAGAGGTCCCTTCCAACCCCTACCATTCTGTGAGTCTGTGATTCTGACTTGGGGTCTTCCATTTAACTAATTGTAAAACTGGTGCTTCCTTTAAACTGTGTTAGTGCATTTGTCAGTTGGGAGGTATAACTGAAACACTGGGCTAAAAAGCCCGGTGTTTATTTGGCCTTTAATACTGCTGTCTGTGAGTTGTTAAAAATTCTTCTTCATTGAGTCTTTGTAATATGCAGTGTTGACTCCACTGTCATGGAAGTCAGCGTGATCTCATGAATATAGCTTAGTGAAATCACCAAGAAGGGATAAAGAGATGCCCTGTCATGGTAAATAACAAGCATGGCTTCTGAAAAAAGAAGGCAAACAGATGAGCTTGGTGGCATCTGGAAGGTGGGCAGTGTGCTGCAGGTCCCTGCTGCTCTCAGGTGCTGCTGGTTGTTTTGTTTGTCGTGAGGCTGTTGGTGGCGGGGAACGGTGGTGCCCTTTTTGCGATTGTTTGCCAGATTTTATGTTGAAGGGGGCTTTTTCATTAGCTGAATGAAACCGTAGCGGACTCTGTGCACATCTGACTTTTTTATTTGTTGTTGTGTTAAGAAGTAAAAATCAGTTGTTATTTCTGAACTGGATTTTCATGTTAAGCCATTACAGTACCACAGTTCTAGCCCTCAATTCTGACTTTTAACCTTGTCAGTTTTAGACAGTTTCAACTGGGGCTTTCTCTGCTCAGCTTTCTTGCCGACACACAATTTCCACAGAGAATTTTACTATTTCTGCGAAGAGTGTTTGTTTGTAGTCACAGCTCTCTTCTGAGTGTAATTCATTATTTTTGTTTTCTGAGTCATCTCTCTCATCTTTTATTTTCCAGGTTGGTGAGAGGCAGAGAGTTCTGGTAACAGAAGAATCCTTTGATTCCAATTACTATGTTGCTCACAATCCTTTCTATGAGCAGGTATGGTTAAATAAACAAAATGACATCTTTTTGTTTTATCTTTGTTTTCTGTTAATCTCGGCAACACAGTGTGCCGCGGAGAAAAAAACAAGTAAAGAAATAAGAAAAATTTTCCAGGGAAGGTGTGAGCATCAAGACCTGTTTATGAGATATTTTGTTTCTGTGTTGTAAATACAGTTTACCTGCAATTATGTTAAGGAATACACAGTAGCTCTTTGAGTATATAGCGGAAGGAGGATACATGCTATACATTCAAATAACATTATATGAGTGGTTTAAGCAGCTCTTAATTACTGTAGTAATTTTAATTTTTGTGTCTCCAAAGCAAAGTTTTGTGAATAGTTAAATCTTGATAATTTCCAGACATCTTTCAGAAAATCTTTTCAGGCAATGCAATTTGGAAAAAAAAAAAATGAACGTGGGAAGGGTCAGTAACTTCTTTAGATTAACACTTCAGCCTGAGATGTCGTATTTCCTTCTGTGTACTTTCTAGAAATTATTTCTTTCCACACAGAAATGTTATCTTTGATCTATGAAGGAAGTACAGCATCTATTTCACAAAATTATTGTTTTTGCTCAAAAGCAGATGACTTGCTGAAAACCAATGAAATTGGCTTTTTTTGAAATACCATGACTTCATTCTGGTTTTGCCTTTGGCTTGTCCTCCATTTCCTTGCACTGAGCTGTCTACCGTTTGCTTCTACTACCTTTAGTTATTCAGTTTTCTGAACCTGGAGAGGCTATTGATGATGGCTGTGCTTATGTAGTCACCAGTAGTGCTTTCCTCTGGTTCTGGATGATGTTACAGCATTTATTTATTTGTTTTTGTTTACTAGTAAGTAACATTATTGCTCTTGAAGTATCTGTTTCTATTAGATATCTGGTTCACTAATTATTTTTCCTCAGTTTCTTTTTTATCTTATGATAAATCTCTTCTTTAACCTCTGTCTAAGCCTTCTGTATCGCTGTTCCTTGCTTTTGTGATTTATCAGTCCGATTTGAGGAACTTGTTTTTCCATACAGAGATTCAAAAGAAATTGCTTGGGGCTTTTTAATGTTCAGTGCTTGTTTTATGAAAGTTTCGTTAAGTAAAGGAAAAACTGCATGTGCAAAAAAGTGTTGATGTTTTTATGGGGTGTTCGTACAGCACCTAATACAGCTTCTGATTGGGACAGGTAAAGAATACACAAAATACAAATAATAACATAGGGAGTAATTTTAAATTTTATTACGGAAGAAATGACTTCAATTATTAAAACGTATGTCTTTTCTCTAAAAATCTTATGTGTGGCATGTTTGACAAGGGTAGTATCCTACTGTTTGCCCAGGTAATCAGAAGACTTGATGCTTGTGACTAATAACAGTAAATGTAATGATAGTAAATTGATAACCACACTTGAGTCACTAAATATCATATTATACTTTGGAAGCTGCAGCTCAGAGTCCTGGTGTAATGTTCTGTTAACTCAGATAGTTATCAAACCTATTCTCTCTTCACTAAGCTCTTCTGTGTTCAAAGAGTTTGCTATTAGAGCCACATCGGTAGAGCTACGCTGACAAGCTTCCTCGTAGAACTGCAGCTTGCATTTGTGGAGGCTTTGGTGAGGTAGTTTAAGGTAGTTCATTGAACAGAGTAGTATAAACTGACCAAAGGGTACTTTGCCCAAACAACAGTCAAGATGAGGGTTTCTATTAATATAACTTTGTTTCTTAGAAATAGGGTTGGAGATTTTTTTCCCTAATAAATACTTATATCAGAAAAATGCGTGAGTGTTCGCCAAGCCTGACTGCTTGTTTTTTTACAGTACCTCCCAGATATTTTCATTTAACCTCTTTCTTCTTTTTAAGTAGTATTCACATACCCATGTCTGTCCCTGAGGATTTATATTTAGTTACTGCCATTGTGCATATGGGGATACCAAGATTTACAGAGGTCACAGGCCCAGTGATATTGAGTTACCTAATTTTCCCTTCATTTAAATTTGATCAAGATGAATTGTGAGGGGACAGCTGTGATGTAGTCGCATTGTAGTGCTGTCTCAGCATTAGGAGATGCCTTTGTGTTTGCCACTTAGTTGCAATTAGTCTTGGCTTGCCCATCTCTGAAAGGCAAAAGGGTCTGCTTTTCTTGGAAGATGCTTAGGAAGCTCGGCAGAATCCTAGGATCTGGAAACTCCTACAGTCGTGAACACCTTGACCCTTCAGGGAAAAAAGGAAACTGCTGGTAATTATTTCCTCCAGCTGGGACAACCAGCATGTGCGATAGGTGAAACCAGAGAGGCACTATTTGGCAAGAAAATGCTCTCCAAATGTGGTTGGCACAGAGTTTTCCTCTGAAAATCCTCTGCACATGTTGTCAAAAAATAAGGCCATTTTAAGGCATTTCAGTTTCAGCATCCAAAAATCAAGATATCACAGAATCACAGAATGGTAGGGGTTGGAAGGGACCTCTGTGGGTCACCTAGTCCAACCCTCCTGACGAAGCAGGGTCACCTCACGCACGCTGCTTCAGTTTGTGCCCATTGCCCCTTGTCCTGTTGCTGGGCACCACTGGAAAGAGTCTGGCCCCATCTCCTGACACCCACCCTTCAGATATTTATAAGGATTTATTAGGTCCCCTGTCAGCCTTCTCTTCTTCAGGCTGAACAAGCCCAGCTCCCTCAGCCTCTCCTTGTAGGAGATGTTCCAGTCCCCTCACCATCCTTGTTGCCCTCCGCTGGACTCTCTCCAGTAGCTCTTCATCTTTCATGAACTGGGGAGCCCAGAACTGGACACAGTACTCCAGATGAGGCCTCACCAGGGCAGTATACATATGTGCTCATCACCTTTGAAAAGTTTGCATTTGTGTGTGCATGAGCTTCAAGTAAATGTGATTCAGTAAGTCCCTGCAATTCAACTTTTCATTGTTTAATTGGGAAATTACTCCACTTCTCTTTAACTGCTTCTCTATTTTGAGAGCCTTTTTATGCCATTTGTTCTTCCAGCAAAAAAATGTTGCTCCTGTGTGTTGGGCTCTTTCCTTTGTAACATGCGTGACCTAGGAACATCTGTTACATGGTGTCTTTTTTGCGAAGTTCTTATGGAGCTGTCTGAAATCCTAGTTGTGCAAATGCAGGAAGGGGTGGCATTAGTTGCTGACCCAGGAAGCACCGTCCTCCATTTTTACAGGCATTCGTTGTCAGTCATGCGTTGCAGCTGCGGAGGACCTGAGCAATCAAAAGAAGGGCTTGTGCAAACAGAAACAAGGGCATAATTTCTGTCCTGAAGCATTTGCAGACTCAAAAACATTCAAAAAAAAAAAAAAAGAGTATCATGGGATAGATATGAAAATAGGAAGCTTTACAGCGGTGTATTAGAATTGTGTAGTAGAAGTCCGCTTTGGAACTCACTGGGTCTGAATTCAGATGTTGCAACTCAGGCCCAGCTTTCTTATGAACTGAAAAACACGACTGATGGAATCAGCTGGAGTCAAAAAGGCCTGAACTAACACTGCAAAGCTCTTGAAGAATGCAAGCTGGAGATGCTACTGGTCAAGCATGTCGGGCTGTAGTGTGTGCAGGTGACTAAAATTTTAAGGTTTTAGGATTTGCTCTGACGTTTATCAAAAATCTGTCTTCTGAGTGGAAGCTAGAAGCACTGATGTCCTTTGTGGTATTTAGTAACTATGCCTTCATCTTTATTTGAAAGGTTCTTGTGCCAAAGGATCCTCTGTTAATGGGTAAGATGGTAGAAGTGAATATTTATGAAGCTGGGAAACATTTTATGAAGGGGCAACCAGTGTCAGATGCCAGAGTTTACACTGCATCCATCACCAGACCGTTAGCAAAAGGAGAAGTTTCTGGTTTAACAGAGGTGAGTAAAAGACATTTTCTGCTTTACTACACTGGTAAGCCAGCAGCTGTTCAAGCATACTGATTCCATGCTATGTACCTGTTATCATTTTATAGTTCCCCTTTTATGTATGCATGAAGGTTTAATCTTTCCTGAGAGATTGAAATCTGAGTCTGAAAGATGTTTTTGCTGATGCCCATAGCTTTACTTTGTTAACCTTAAAGGCAATAATACACTTGTTTCTTGTTCCAGGGTGCAAGATGAGGGGAGAACTTACTAGAATTGAAAAGATTTAACACCAGTGATTACATAATTCAATGTATTTCGGTTCTAGTTTAGTGGAAGGATGAATCTGTTCATTTTGCTTTACAAAGCTGTTTTAAAAGAATGTATATTGATTACATGTCTGTTGAAACAGGTCAAAATTTGGTTCAGAGATTCAAAATTATTGATGGGTAGAGGTATGGAATATATACAATATATTCTGGAAAAAGGTCAACATCTGATTTAGTTATGTAAAGAAAATGAAACTCTTTTAAAAAGAGATCTGGTCCTTATTTTACACCTCAGTGGATATGGCTGTTAGCCAAGTATTCTCATACATTTCATGGAACTCTAGTTGTAAAAACTGATGGAGTGTGAAATGAAAATGTGTATCACATTTCTAAGCATCATTTGATGTCCTTTCTCCGGCACTGTTGCTAGGATCTCCAAAAATATGTAGCAGTGGTTTAGCACATGGAAGAAGGATAAACTGAGTTTATCAGCCGCCTTGCTGGTTTTATAGTAAATTGTTGACAAGTATTAGAGTATATATGCATCCTTGTTAAAGTTCTAAGTAGTCATATTTAAAAGAAATAATCAATGCATACCTTATGTGACTAGCGTTAAGCTAAGCTACTTGGTCTCTTGAATAAACCTGGCTGTGGAAACATAGAAGAACAGTAATGCAGCTACTGTGATGTGTTTGGCATATCAGGAAACCGAAGTACAAACACACTGCTAAACTCTCCTTTGAATACTGTCGGGGTGTGTGTGTATATTGGCCTCCTCAGGGTCTGTAAGAGGAAAAAAAACAGCCCAAACCCTCAAATTGTCTGATTGGACTATGTAGCTATTTAGATGCAGCTGATTTTTTCATCAGAACATTTTTTTTAATAATCTGCTGGAACACAACCAAGCCTGTCTTTAAACTGAGTATGTGCTGCCAGAAGCTTGTAGCATGGGAACGAACAAGCAGACTGTTGACTGAAGTTTTGCATGTTAAAAGTGAGAGATAAAATTATTAAAATCAAGGATACTGATAATTTCCAGGAGAACTTATTGAGGTGTATAGATGTGCTCCAGTCCTTGGAGTAGATGTGAACAAGTACCTGGAACGCCCAAGTAAATGGCTGCAGCAAGCGAATGATAAGGCAAATTGCTTTTCATTACTTTTGTGGCTGCCAGTGCTCCTGCAAGGGAGTAGCTTATTTATGTTTGGGCCACTGGATGTGTTAGGAATTTTCATTTTCTGGAAAAAAATAGAATCTCAGTACTTCAGTAAATGGGACATCTTTTGTACAGGGAAGCTACAGCTGAAAGCTTTTAATCACGGTTGGCCAATGTGTAATATATAGAACATTAACTGAAATTGTTATGGGGAAGTTCCTCCTGACAAATCATATTAAGTGGCAGATCAGGAACTCTCTTTAGGTTCCCAGGAAAAAAGTCAGTTTATCACAAAAGTCACAGTTGGTTGCTGGCTGGATGAAAGATGCTCTTTGTGTTGTTTTTTGTGGCTGGACTGCTGCAAAACGTTTCCTGTTAGATGTACTCGAGATGTGTAATTCTAACCTGAGATGCTTATGAGCAAGATAAGAGGGGCAACATCTGTCATATGACCCTTTATATAGCTTGTTATGTGCAGAGATGGCAGGTTGGGGAAAGGAGGAGGAGACAAATGAGAACGTATGTATTAAGATACTGCCTCAAAAGTAACCAAAGATCTGGGATTTTCAGCAAGATCCCAAGGGTCATTGACAGATCTTCAGAAGAGCAGTGTGTAGAACTGAAATCTTGGATAACTTTGACGATATGTCAAGCTATCAAACTATATAATGGAGAGAAGGAAGAGTTACCTAAAATAGGTTCTAAAAGCAAAAAATGAAAACACAGGCGGCCCCGCCGCTTTCTCCTTCCTACTTTGCACACAAGTGGGCAAGAATTAGGGCCAGCTTTACATTCCCAGGCTGGAAAGGATGGGTAGCCAGCTGGCTCTTTTAGGACCAGGCACATTTCTGTTGCTCAGCACAGCTGTCCTCTGGGCAGGAGCTCTGTTAGGCGCCGACCAGGATCCCGTAATGGGTGTGCTGTCTGCAGCACCCTGGAAGCTTCTAGTGGACTTCTGGTCTTACCCTGTCAGTGGTATGACTTCCTCTCAACTCCTTTATGTTTGCTGGTCCATAATGGGAGCTAGTTCAGAGAAGCAAGCGAATTTAAATGTACATCGAGGTAATCTCGATCAAAAGAATGTGATAATGGGCTGTACTGCAGTAAAACATTTATATGCCTCGGTCCATTCCCATTCAACAAAGCACTTGGCTCCTTCTTGATGTCCATGTAAATTACTGGGGCTGCAGTGCACACCTTCCAGTTCAGCATGTTGCGCTAGTACTGTGACAAAGAGGGACAGATTGCTGAGTCAGGGCTGTAACGTGGTTATAGACTGTCTGCAGCAGTTAAAAAAATGCAATTTTTGTAGTGAATCCAAGGCATTGCTTGCTATTATTAACAGTATTTTCATTAGCTTGCATATGACACAAGAATACTATTTCAAAATACGTCACAGCTGTACTTCTCTCTAATGAGGAATGTTCACAGAAAGAGTGAAAGCTTTCAAAACTGTGCAGTTTTTAAGGAGATTAATCATATGGCTAAAAAAATTAAGTTCTAAAAATCGAGAGCACCATAACATGAGGGTGTCAAAGCAAGCCACAAACCCATCTTAAGCAAGAAGAAACTTCTATAAATGCTGTGATGAGTAGTACCTCCGAAGGATCAAAGCTTACCTGCAGTTGTGTGCTCTTTCTTGTCTGCTACATGTCCCTCAGTAATTATTTTACAAGTACAGAGGGAGCACCACAAGCAACATGATGTGTCTGAAGGAACAACTGTAGGCTTTTTTTTTTTTCACTCTTTTGATCACATGACTGGGGTGACAAATTGGTCCAAAGAAACAGAAGAAGGTGGTCACCAACTGGAATCAACAGATCTAACTGCAAAAGACGGAATGCAAAATGTCACACAAAGGACAATTTACAGACTCCATAAAATATTCACATTGTATATCTGTGCCGAATAAATCCATCAATATTTATGTGCTTCTTAATTCAGGCTATTTCTAGCATATCTTATTGTGATTTTTCAATATATGAAAAACACACCTTATATCTATATCTGTTAACATATTAATGATGTAGAATTTCTTAGCAGTTATTATATTCTCTAAGTAAAAAACGGTGACTAAGTAGATGGGCTCAGAATAAAGTCTTGACACGCAATAACATCAGGCTCTGTGACAGATGTTGGGACAGAGGAGTGTCAGAGTCAGCGGCTCAGGTTAAAAAGCTGTCGAAGCGATGAGACTTACTGATTGCAGTGGACATATTAAGTATTGAAATGCACAGGTTTTTGCCAGGACTATTTTTTTACTT